TTCTGCATTATATTTTACACTCTCAGAAAATTAAATTTATGTTTTTAATAACTATTTTCATAGATATTCTCTTGACAAAAATATAAATATTTCTTGGAGATACTATTTCAAGGTGTATGCTTTTGCCTGGATTACTGATACAGGCAAATCCCAGTGTTTCTCACAAGCACCCATTTTTTTTCAAGTAGTAGAAGCATAAGCTACAATAGTTAGTGTTACTCAGGTTTTCAAAGACAATCTTCTAAACAACTAAAGGTCACAATGTTACTCAAAGATCAAAAGTATTTAAAGCTGACACTCAAGGGGTCATGCATATACTTCTACTGCAAATATTCTGGAAGGCTCTGCTCTCTGGAATTCCCATTTCACACTGATCCAATAAAACCTGACTTTACAGATTTTCAACAAGTACCATAAACCAATCCCTTCTCCTCGGCTGTTCTCCAACTCAATAATGGCATTCACATTCATTACATTTAGTGAGTCAGACTTTCCGCAGTGCCTAAGTCACTCACGACTAGTATGGCAGGTGTGTGGTGAGTGACGTTAGCTGTTTCAGGATTCTAGGAAACTATGTAAGTGTAAAGCAGCCCTGGTAATGCCCTACTGGCCTGAAAGAGTAAATGCACCTTCCCTAAAAGCCTCACATATGACTTTCTGTGCTAGAGAGAAAAGAAAGCAACACCTTTTCTCTTTTTTAATAAAAGTAAAAGCTTATAAGCAGAAAGTTTATTTAAAATATTTATGAATATAGTTGCTGTTTCCTGTTTTGCATCATTATTAGATATTGTGGGACTTTAGGGCAGAAAAATAAGAAGAAACTAGTCTTCATGGTACTTGAGATTTTGTTCCTTAAAGAAAAAATGCCTAGGAATAGCATTAAGGGGCTATCTTGGGCCACAAAACCCATAAATATAGAGTTGGAGATGCCACTACATCCATATTATCCCTGGTCTAGTGTGGGTTGCCCTTTTTCTTTGTTCACAGTTGCATAATCATGGAGAACACTGAGGTCAATTCAAAGTCAAGATTACCTCCAAATGAATGTGTTGTCTACATATGATACCTGGCTCTCCTCTGAACAAACACACAGGAGAAGTCCACTACAGTTCAAGTCACAAATTCACAGGCATGCAAAATAAGACATTGCAGAGTTCTGGACTAGGAGGCTGATGTCTAATGAGTTCTCCAATTAGCACTTGGGAGACCTGCATACACATGTTGGAAAGTGAATAAAATAACCAAATTTTTAGGTCAGAAACACAAAATTTTCAAGTTCTAAGATTCAAATTGTGAAAAACTGTACTCTATGAGATTTAGGATCTGGAAATGCAAATTTTAAATGTCTCCTCCACCATATTCCCCCAAAAGGTCAAGCCACTAGAAAGAGTTCCCTCTACAAATTTTGTTAATCTGGGTCCATTCAAAATACCATGAGTGTGCTCCTTTCACATCTCTGTTATGAGGCTGTTGAGATGAAACCAGAGAATAATAACTGTGGTTTTGTATAAAGGCCTAAGAATGCTTGATCTTCATAAGGCCTAAATCTCAGCAGAGTCTAAAACCAGATACTTTACATAATTAACTCTGTGGTCTTATCTGGAGTTTTAAAGGAAAAATGGTTTTGAGTTATCTAGGGAATTGCTCCAACACAACCCCTCTTCACTTTATTGACACAAAAGATAAAACTTCCAAGCACCTTTAAAACCTTTGTCATGAATACCCTTCAAGAGATTCCATAAGTGAAGTCTGCTCTGAAAAACTGGCCACTTCTTTGCCACCATTCACATGGGGCTGCGTCCCCATTATCACTGCTCTGTGGGCAATGGATTTTTACATGCAATTGTGTGTCTAAAAGATAGAACACAAGGTTGACCCAAAGATAGGTCTGAGGGTTCTGCCCCAAGCTATGGGCCCAACCAAGCACTCACGGACAATGCACTGGTTTCCTCCAGGGAGCGTCTTCCATCCTGGGCAGCAATAGGAGTGGAACCTGGAGCCGCACACGTTTGGCCTGCAAGGGACAAGCACCTTGTCAGAAACGTAGGTGTAGGAACACACTTTAAATTCCTGAAATTTAGGAATGGAGGGCAGACATAGAGGTAAATGCTCCTTTAGACATTGGAATGGGGAGGGTCCGAAATCTCTAAAGCGTCCCTTTCATCTGTTCCCTTTTGCGTGCCTTTAAAGGGCGAAAGGAGACAGGGAAACATATAATTTGCTACTATTCTAGCCTCCGGATGTAGAGAACAAAGGGGACATTCCATTTCTAAAATCCTTTCTCTCATTCCCAAATCCATTCTTCCTTGATCTACTGTTACTTCGGCCCGGACGTGTCAAGGAAGGCGCGTCAGAAGGTGGAGCGCTCGGGTTGATGATTAGAGAATGAGTTGTAAACCCCGCACTCGTCCTCAAACAAAAGGCTCCGGAGCGGCGCCCCCGACGGTGGGAGCAGGCAGGCTCCACTGGCCCCAGCGCAGGGCGGACCCAAGCCCGCCTTCTGCCAGACATTCGGAACCTGTTCCAGCACCGCGGGCCCGGCACGCTCTGCGATCCGCACCTGGGGGACCCCTACTCACCCCGTGCCCAACCCCCAGAGGGAGGTCTTTCCGCTGGCTGAGCTTTGGGGTTGGGAAGGAAAAGGGGGAGGCGCTCCTGGGGGTCTTCTGGCACAGGGGAGTGAAACGCTAGCCGCCAGCACAAGATTCATTCAGGGAGCGGGTAGGATGGAGAGCCGCCAAGCTGAGGATCCCAACAAACCGGCCCCCCCAGGCACAAGGCCGCCTGCCCACCTACCCTCGGAGCACGTCCTGCTGTCCTCGCCTGCGGACGCGGTTCGCCGCTGAGGTGCCCTCTTCCCGGTACTCGGGTGCCACAAACCCGCCTTCGGAGCCCGCTGTAGCCGGCCGGACCTGTTGCGGCTGCGGCTGTGGCTGCGGCTGCGGCTGCGGCTGAGGCCGGAGTGGCTTAGGCGGTGGAGGCTGGGGCTGGCCGGCTGTACCCTGCGCCCAGAGCGCCATGCAGCCCAGCCACACCAAGTAGGGCTGGAGACACAACCGCCTCCGTCTCTCCATCGCCGGCGCCGAGAGCGCGCGGACCAAGGCCCGCAAAGAGCGAGCGATCAAAGACAAAATCCACGCGGGCCGTAAAAAGTCAGGGTCTAACTAAGTCCTTCGTCAGCTGCCGGGACTCCCTTGGGCTCGGGCTCCCTGCTCTTAAGAGGGAGCCCGGGACCGAGCGCTGGCCCCTTGGCTGCCGGCGGCGTGGGGCACAGGACGCGGGATCTAGCTCAGTGGGCGGCGAGGCGCGGTGGCAAAGCAGCCCGCAGCCCCGCGCGGTCCACGTTGCATCCCCCGGGCCACGGCCCCGAGCGACTCCAGGACCGCCAGCGGGTGGGGGCGGGAAATTACAAAAGTAACCCGAGCAGCCGCGGGGTAAAGTTACAAAGAAAGCGGACCTCACAAGAAAAAAAAAAGGGGGGGCCTGCACGCAGCGGCTCAGCGGATTCCTGTGCGCTCCGGGCACAGATCTTGGAAAGCTGCAGAAGTCACCAGAAAAAAGCAGGCAAGCAAACAAAAGTTGCCCCCAAAGAAGAGGAAGGTCTCCTCGGGGATCTCTTGGAGTCCCACGGGGCAGCGACGCGCGGGCGGCGGCTGTGGAGCCCGGCGGAGGTGCGCGGGGCCGGAGCGAGCGGCTGGAGAGAGGGCAGGAGGCTGGACGCCGGGAAAGATGCGGCGGAGGAGGGCGCGGCACCGGGGTTTTAGAGGCCCGGCGGGGCGCGGGGCGGGCCTGCGGGAGGCGGCTGTCAGTGGGGGCCGGGGCGCAGTCGTCCACACGTGGAGAGCAGCCCCAACTTAGGGGCCGGCGGCGCAGAGTGGGCGGGGACTGAGTAAAGGGGCGATCTGTTGGGGAGGAACCAGGGGAATGAAGGACTGGGGGAGGGGAAAAGGAAGGAAGGGGGGGGGCAGGGCAAAGGGAGGGGAGAGGATAGAGATTGGGGAAAAGGAGGGGGCGAGCCTGAGTGGAAAGCCGAGGTTGGAAGAAGGACTTGGAAAGCGAGGTTGGCGAGCCCGGGTGCGAGAGGAAATGAGCGGGGGGTGGGGGGGGGGGGAGGTTGGGGCGAGGAGAGAAGTGGGAAAGCGGAGCAGGGGGGGTTAGGAGGAGGGGGCTGGGGGCCGGCTGGAGGGGGAGAGGCGCTAGGCGGCTTTGCTTCCCGTCCCCCTCAGTTGGCCGCTAGCTCTGTTTTGACTGCCTGTACAAAGCGACCAGACGGCGGGGGAGGGGGCGGTTAGGGACCGGATTTGGGAGAAGAGGCAGCAACCCCTTCCCCTTCTCCTCCGCCTTGGCGGGTCCTGCGGACTAGGGATGAGGTCTCTAAGCGCTCTGATTCCACTGGATGCACAGCCGAACTTCCCCGCCGGACACAGGCCGCAAATTTTAAGATGAGAACTGGTCCTCCTTCAAAGACCAGGACCCTGACCCGAGGTCGGGGGATTCGCAACCAGCCAGAAAAGAGGCTCGAGCTCAGTGGATTGTAGCTTTAAACTGAGAAGGCCAGGGCCTCTCCATCTCTCCTACCCCCGTCACCTCACGGGGAACGGCGTCAGTTTTGTAGGACCCTCAGAGGGGCTGGGAGTTTCCAGATTGAAATGCGTCCTCGGCCGCCAAGAGGAAGCTCACGCGGCAGCGGGGGACTGTGGCAGCGCGCCGGCGCGGGTTGGGAGATTTCGTGCAGGGACGTGCTCAGGTGCGACCCCTGGCAGGCAGGGCTCTGCCGGGGTCTGCATCCAGGGAGGAGTTAGAGATCCTGAAGTTTTGTTGGGGAGATTGGAGTGGGAGCACAGCAGGTAAATAGGGCTTGGTGCCATATCCTTAGTTCCTGACTTGGACACCTTCTTATTAATGATTAAATCCTGGCAGTTGATATAACCCCTCTGTACCCTTAGGGTGCCTCTGTGCCCGCTTGACTATGGGGTCGTCTTTTGCGGCCTTCCTTTCATCAGGTCTTTTTGAAGACCTTGTCATCTCTCAATCAATTGAATTTCATAACTGGAAAAAAAATGAACACCCTGGAAGACTAGGAATGAACATCTGAACGCAGTTTGGGAAATGGTGCAGAACGATGTCTGGATTATTCTACCCTAGAGAACCTTACATTAAAAGGAAAAAAAAAGCATATGTGTAAGATTTTATATATATAAAACCTATATATGCGTATATATTCACTCTGTATTCTCCCAATTGCCCAGATGTGCTATTTGACAGCCAAACTTCTCTGAGAATTGCACAACTCATTCTTTTATTACCCCAATGTAGTCAGCAAAAGACTCAAAGTAGTAGCCTTTCTTAACATTAGTCTCCAAAAGCCAAAAAAAAAAAAGTACATAATTTCAGGTGGTGCATTTATTTCTTAAAATCAAATAAAATTAGAGCAATAGGGGTATTTTTCTTTAAACATTTTAGCAATAAACTATCTCTTGGGTTAAAGCAGCTAAAATGCTTTAACAATAATGGTTTAAAACATCCTGTCTGTGATTTTTCATTTAATACCTAAATAACTTCATCGTTCATTTCTACCTATCACATTAAATCTAAATGTTCTAAAATCAAATACACCTTAACCCTTTGACCTAGCAATAACAGTTTTAGGAATACACATGAAAATAAATGAGAAAAACACTAAATGATGGATGCATTAGTTTGATTATTACAGCATTGTTTACAGTAGGAGAAGACTAAAGACAAACATCCCATCAGTAAGGACAGCACTGAATATGGTTTAGTCCATTCTATGGAACACCTTGCAACTATGAAAAAATGAATGGGTGAGACTCTATGCGTTTATGAAATGATCTTTAGCATAGACAATTTAAAAAATAGGTGCTGAAATTCATTGAGTCAGTAGAATAAAGGTTAACAGGTGCTAGAGGAGAAAAGGGTGAGTTGTTATTTTAGGGGCAGAGTTTCTGTTTAGGATGATGAAAAAGTTCTGGAAATGGATAGTGGTGATGGTTGCATGATAATGTGGATATATTTAATGCTGCTGAATTATATACTTAAGATGGTTAAAATGGTGAATTTTCTGTTATGTGGGTTTTTTTCAACTTTTAAATGCAAAGTGTAGAATTTTGTATATATTATGTTATCGTGTGTGTGTTAAGCATTTTTTTATGAGAAGTATAAACCAAATATAGTAATAATGGTTAATCTGTAGGAAAAGAAGAGAACATGGTAAGAGACAATAAGGGAAGTTATAAGCCCTTCTAAATATTTATAGTTTTACAGTTCTAACTTTGAAACCATGTGTATATTTTATATACTTAAAAAAGAATATTTAATGTTAAAAGAACAATGCTGAACTGAAATCAAAATATAACAAATGAAACTGTCACATTGATAGAATAGCCATAGAATAAATAATTACTCAAAATGACATTTAAACATGATATTTGGACTAGACATCTTTGGTGAGATATAACTTAAGAATGAAAGAACACAAAAAAATCTGAAATTGCTTTCAGTGGTAGTAATGAATGTAGGAAAGAGAGAAAGAAAAAGCAAATATAGAACTGTGTTGATGTCATTACAATGATTTCAGAATAAGAAAGATTAAATATAAAGCAAAAATAAAAACTTTTAAAATTTAAATTGAATTAAAATGCCAATTTAACTTTTATCTCTATTTTTTAAGTGCATTTCTTAACTCTGTCTACTGAAAAATCCAGAAGCACTGACAACACAACAACCAAAAACACCAACTGTGACCAGATTATGGCTCCTAAAGACCATTTCCAGGTAAAAGGAATCGGGGCACCTTGGGTAAATGACTGATTCCAGCCAGGTCTGGAATAGAAATGTTTGAGGTGAGTCTGGCTATCTTGTCATGCCTGAAATCAAGGAAATTATCAGACTGTTAGGGCCACATTTAAAGGAAACCAAAGCTAACTTGAAAGAGATCACTTTGTCTAAAGATGAGGAAACTTGAACATCAACATAGATGACTGCAAAGGATTGAAATTGAAATATGCGATTTGTGTAAATATTCAATATTTCCAAATGATATTTCAGTTAATTGGTCTCCTGTGGAGGTTGTTGAGGTACAACACATGAAATTTAAAATACTGACAAATAAAACAATCAAACAATTATTCTGCCTTTACTGGAAAGACTCATAGAAAGTATTTTTTGAAAAAAATCAGACTGTAAAGTCAGGAAAGATAAAAGTAGGGGGGAAATCACTTCTTTACCAACCCTACTCGACATAATAAACTCATAAACAAATTCAGCAAAGTAGCAGGATTTAAAATCACTAGGTCAGAGATTCGTGTGTGTGTGTGTGTGTGTGTGTTGTCGTCAGTGGACCTTTATTTTATTTATTTATTTCTATGTGGCTGAGAATCGAACCCAGTGCCTTACACATGCCAGACAAGTGCTCTACCACTGAGCCACAACCCCAACCCTAGGTCAGAAATTCTTAGTGGTGGTGAGTCTCTCCCCATGGACAGTTGGTGCTATTCATCCGGAGGCATTTTTTTATTGTCATAAGACAATTCTAATAGAGTAGTGAAAATATGAGGAATGCTTGTAAACATCCTCTAATGCACAGGGCAATCTCCCATTTCAAAGTACTACCAATATCAGTTCTAAAATAGCAATTTCTTGAAGAAGTCGTGAATTATGTGAAAAGTCTTTGGGGAACGTTTTAGTGAATAATTGAAACTATTATCACCAGAACCTATTGATAAATTAGTAACTTCTGAAAAGGAACAAGACCAAATTCAGCATCCATTCATGCTCAAAATACTGGAAAAACTAGGGATAGTAGGAACATACCTCAACATTTAAAAAGCTATGTATGCTAAACCCAAGGCTACATCGTTCTAAGAATCTCAAAGCATTCCCTCTAAGATGGGACAAGACAGGGATACCCTCTTTCACCACTCCTATTCAACATGGTCCTTGAAACCCTAGCCAGAGCAACCAGACAAAAGAAAGAAATTAAAGCTATATGAATAGGAAAAAGAGAGCTCAAACTATCTTTATTTGCTGATGACATGATTCTTTATTTAGAAGAACTAAAAAACTCTACTGGAAAGCTTCTAGAACTCATAAACAAATTCAGCAAAGTAGCAGGATTTAAAATCAATATCAATAAATCAATTGCATGTCTATACACCAAGTATATATCAGCAGAAAGGGAAATCAGGAAAACTATCCCTTTCATAGTATCCTCAAAAAAATAAAATATTGGAAATCAACCTAATAAAAGAGGTGAAAGACCTGTATAAGGAAAACAGAACACTAAAGAAAGAAATTGAAGAAGACCTCAGAAAATGGAAATATCTTTCATGTTCCTGGATAGGCCAAATAATATTATCAAAATGACCTTACTACTAAAAGCATCATACAGATTTAATGCAATTCCTATAAAGATCCCAATGACATTCTTCACAGAAATAGAAAAAGCAATCATGAAATTCATTTGGAAAAATAAGAGGCCCAGAATAGCCAAAGTAATCCTTAGCATGAAAAGTGATGCAGGAGAAGTTTGCTACAATACCAAACTTTAAATTATACTACAGAGCTTTAGTAACAAAAACAGCATGGTATTGGCAACAAAACAGACATGAAGATTAATGGAACAGAATAGAAGACACAGAGACATACCCACATAAATACAGTTATCTCATTCTAAACAAAGGCACCATAAATGTATATTGGAGGACAGATAGCCTCTTCAACAAATGGTGCTGTGAAAACTGGAAATCCATGTGTCATAGAATGAAATTGAACACCTATATCTTACTCTGCACAAAACTCAACTCTAAGTGGATTAAAGACCTAGGCATCAAACAAGAGACCCTGCACTTACTAGAAGAAAAAGTAGGCTCAACTCTCATGTCAGTATGTCAGCTTGGGAACCAAATTCCTCAACAAGACTTCTAAAACAGAAGAAGTAAAATAAAGAACCAATAAATGGGATGGTATCAAACTGAAAAGCTTCTTCACAGCTAAGGAAACAATCAAGAATGTGTACAGAGATCCTACAGATTGTGAGAAAATCTTAACCTCCAGTACCTCAGATGAAACATCAATTTCCAGGATTATACAAAGAACTCAAAAAACTTGACATCAGAAAAATAAATAAACCAATCAATGAATGGACAAAAGAACTGAACAAGCACTTCACAGAAGAATATACACAATTGATCAACAAATATGTGAAAAAATGTTCAACACCTCTAGCAATTAGAGAAATGCAAATTAAAACTACTCTGAGATTCCATCTCACTCCAGTCAGAATGGCAGTTATAAAGAATACAAGTAACAATAAATGTTGGCGAAGATCTGGGAAGAAAGATACTCTCATATACTGTTGGTGGGACTGCAAATTGGTGCAAACATTATGGAATGCAGTATGGAGATGCCTCAGAAAACTTGGAATGGAATTATCATTTGATCCAGTTATCCCCCTCCTCGATTTATTCTCAGAAGACTTAAAAACAGTATAATACAGTGAGACAGCAACATCCATGTTTATAGCACTTCAACTCACAATAGCTAAACTATGGAAACAACCTAGGTGTCTTTCAACAGATGAATGGATAAAGAAAATGTGGTATATATACACAATGGAATATTACTCAGCCATAAAGAATAATAAAATTATGGCATTTGCCAGTAAATGGATGGAGCTGAAGAATATAATGTTAAATGAAATAATCTCCAAAACCAAAAGCTGAATGTTTTTCTGATTTGTGGATGCTAACCCAAAATAAGGGGGAGTGGGGAGGGCAATAGTAGAAATCCATTAGTCTAGACAAAGGGAAATGAAGGGAAGGGAGGTGGGATAGGAGTAGGAAAGACAGTAGAATTAATTGGATATAACTTTCCTAGCCTTGTATTTGTTGTATACACAACCAGGGTAATTCCACATGATATTTAAGAATGGGATCTTAAATAGAATAAGTTATATTTTATGTACATGTATTCTGCCAAAATACATTCTACTGTCATTTATAACTAAAAATTAAAAATAAAAATATTTAAAAAATTTTGCTACATATGGATTTCCAGTTTTACCAGTATCATTTTTTGAATAGGTTATCTTTTCTCCAGTGAATGTTTTTGGCATCTTTGTATAGTATGAGATAATTGTATTTGTGTGAGTTTGTCTCTGTGTCTTCTATTCTGTACCATTGATCTACGTGTCTGTTTTGGTGCCAATGGATAAAGAAAATGTGGTATATAGATTCAATGGAATATTACTTGGCTTTAAAGAGGAATGAAATTATGGCATTTGCAGGTAAATGGCTGGAGTTGGAGAATATCATGCTAAGCAAAATAAGCCAGGAAACCAAAGGCCGAATGTTTTCTCTAATATGCAGATGCTAATTACAATAAGGGGGACACTAGGGAAGAATAGCATTATCTTAAATTAGGTAGGGGGGAGTAAAAGGTGGGGAGGGGAGAAAATATGGGGATTGGGTTAGCATCACATGACCAATGTGATTGATTCTACAACATGTACACTCAGAAAAATGAGAAATTATACCCCATCTGTGTATGATATATAAAAGGGCATAAATGCATTCTACTGTCATGTGTAATTAAAACAAAGAAAATTTTTTAAAAATAGAATTTTTTAAATGTTCAGGTTTAACATTAAAAAGAGGAATAAAACCAGACATTATGTATCTATGATGTGGTGCAACAGTAGGGATATGGGACCATCTATGAATTATCTCTAACAAAACAGTTGAACCTGAATGTAATAATACCTCTACATTTTAATTCCAGTTTAGGAACTATGGTAAGGAGGGATCATAAATCTAGTCAACCAGATTTAGAATGTGGGATATATCACAAGACCAGTTTCTTCAAATAAGTGACAGGAGGAAAGTGAGAGAACTGTTTTGGCTAACAACCCCCAAACATTTGTATCTTATCTGGAATTTTGATATGAACATAGCCAGTATAAAATGGCATTTTAATGTGACCAGGAGGAGATTAAAGGAGAATCATTAGGTATTTTGTTTTTAATTTTTGAGGGTAAAATGATATGGTTTTATTTTAAAATAATATACTTACTAACATTATACCCACTAAAGCATTTATGGATGAAATATGAGACCTGGATTTGATTTAAATAGTGAAAGAAAAACAAAGTCTGGGATCTGAAAAGATAGATTAGATGAACTTTTCCTTATTACTCTTGCTAAATATACTTAGGTAAACACCTTAGAGAAAGAAGACAATTAACATAAATAGGAAGACACTCAATGGTGGCAAGAAAAAGAAAGACTGATGGTGATCTTGGGACCCAAGGTACAACAGGGCAGTGAGTACCTTCTATATCTCTAACTGGGTGCTGGTACAGTTCAAAGAAAGCTCTGAAGAAAAGTCTGCTATCTCCAGCACAAGGACAAGAAAGGGGAGCTTCACAAGACAGGAAAGTTTTAGACAATAAGTGCTGTACAGACAGTCGGACACCACAGAGAAAGCTGGGTCACCCCCACCAGCAAAGGCCAAGTGGGGAGCCTAGACTTTCAACTGCACTTGGCTGTAACAAGGTGCCCCTCATCTTCAAATTAATATCAGAAAAGGCTAGTGGAGAGCTCAGACCTTTATCCCCCTGCACAACAATGAGCCACTCCTTCCCCAGGATGTCAGTGGAGAACATGGACTTCCACTGCATGGCAGTCAGGTTCATATATTTATCTCTGTATGAGGGGATTTACTGGAGGAGTGACTCACAGGATCACAGAGGCTGAAAATCACATTAGACTGTCTGC